AGGAAAGGAAAGGAAAGGAAAGGAAAGGAAAGGAAAGGAAAGGAAAGATGACTTATTCAGAGTGAAGCTTGTTATCACATTCTTTTTCTTTTTTTAGGTAGGGTCTCTAATGCAGGCAGGCTTTCAATTCCTTATGTGGCCTAGGATGACCTGGAGCTTCTCCTTGTGTCTTAGAGTGCTGTAATAACAGGCATGCACCACTACACTGAATTTATGTAGTTCTGGGGAGTCGTGACCTTGTTCATGCTAGGCCAGCACTCTCCCAAGCTTGGCCATCTCTGTGTGCTCCATCATGGGTTCTCATGGGAGCAGGGAGATGGAGCGAGTGGCTTGCTGCCTTTGGAAGGCTTCTTTTTAGCTCTTCCAGCGTCCAGCCTGACTGTTGTGTTAAGCAGAAGCACACCGAAACGAACTGAAACTGTGTATGAGGGCAGATACAAGGCACTTAGCCACAGGTCTAATCTAATTCAAACATGACTATGGCATTGAGATATGGATGTCACCTAAACCTGGGCTAAAAATAGCATTTTAGAAAATGATTTGTTTCTGGGCTTTGTTGTCATTACTTTGTGTTTTTATTTTTCTCTCTGGTACTAAGACTTGCACCCAGGATGTGCTAGACAAGTGCCTCCTCCCCCCTGAGCTGTGCCCTCAGCTCCCTGTAGGTATGTTTGAATATTTATTTATAATGCAAATCAGTGGTAGCTTGTTCTTGTGGCTTTGGTTATTTAGTTATTTTTTACATGTATGGCCATTTTCCCTGCAAGTATGTATGTAACATGAGTGCAGTGACCACAGAGGCCAGAAGAGCATGTCAGATTCCCCTAGGAGCTAGAGTTACAAAACAAGTACCTGATGTGAGTGCTGGGAACTGAACTCAGGTCTTTTGCAAAAGCATCATGTGCTCTTAACCACAGAGCCATCTGTGCAGCCCCCTGTTTTTACTTTTTAGTTTTGCAGCTGATCTTTTTTAAAAAGATTTATTTATTTTATACACACACACACACACACACACACACACACACACACACACACACATATATATATAAAAGCTATCTGTAGGTCATTTGCATACTAGAAGATCCTAGTATAGGTGGTTGTGAGCCACCATGCAGTTGCTGGGAATTAAACTCAGAACCTCTGGAAGAGCAGACAGTGCTCTTAACCACTAGGCCATCTCTCCAGCCCTCTGCAGCTGATTTTTAACAGACAAAAATATATATACCCATCAGCCCAATAAACTGAAAAGGGGAAAAACGCCTGTGTAATCACACTAAGTTCAAGAAATGGAATATTATTAGCACTCTGAATAATTCTGAAAATTTTGTCTCATTGCTAATATTCACTTTTTCACATTTCCTCAAAGCTGGCATCAGTGTTTTTCTTTTTAAAGCTGGTTTGTGGCACATATCTATAAACCTAGCACTTGGGAGGTAGAGGCAGGAGCATTAGAAGTTCAAGGTTAGCCTCAGCTACAAAGTGAGTTTGAGTCTAGCCTGAGCTACACGAGACCCTGTCTCAAACAATAAAAATAAAAAGTAATAAAATTCAGATGAAATATACATGGATCAGTGGGAGAGCACATGTTTCATGTATGCAAGATGCTGGGTTTAATCTCCAGAAACACACACACACAATGTGTGTGTGTGTGTGTGTGTGTGTGTGTGTGTGTGTGTGTGTGTGTATTGTGTGTGTGTATTGTGTGTGTGTATATTTTACCATATTATTTTAAGGGCCACTTTATTTTGCTGATTGATTGATTGATTGATTGATTGATTGATTGAGGCAGAGCCTCACCATGCATTCTGACTGGTCTCGAACTCAGATGCCTACCTGCCTCTCCCTCAGCTCTGCCTCTTTAATTTTGGGATTAAAGGTGTGTGCCACCACACCCAACTCAAGGGCCATTAACAAGAATTTTTTTTTTTAACATTTATTTATTTTGCGGGTGCCTGTAGGTGTGGCTACACATGCTAAGGCATGCATGGAGGTGGGAAGACAGTGTGCAGGATTCAGTTTCTCTTCCACCGTGTGGATCCTGGGGATGAAACTTGGCTGTCAGGCATGGTGGCAAGAGCCTTCAGCTGCTGAGCCCTTTCACAGCCCTCAGTAGTCACTTGACAGCTTGGCGGCATTACATACGTTCACATCTTCCTGTGACCACCACCACCACCACCAGAATGTTCCTTCCAGTACATTCCTGACTTTTCAGAACCGAAGCTCTGCCGTACGCTGAAAGAAAGCCCGTCTCCACGGCGGTGTCTGCTGCCAGGTGTCCTGTGTAAGTGGAGTCACGTTCTCCGGTCTCAGACGTTTGTGCCCCTGTAGGGCTGGTAGGCTTCACTCCTCAGTTGTGTCTTCAAGGTTTGTCTTTGTGTTAACATGATTCAGTTTCTTCCCTCTTTCTTAGGCCGTGTAATATCCCATCATAGCGATGTATACCCCTTTATGTGTTTCCACTTGTCTGTTGATGAGTACTTGGTGTCTACTTTTTGGCTGTTATGAACACGGCTATATAGATATATGTTTAATACCTTGCTTTCATTATTTTGTGTCTATACCAGAAAGTGATTTGCTGTGTTGTATGGTGATCCTGTTTTTTATTTTTTTGAGGAACTTCCACATTATTACTCATGTAGCTCTGCTATTAAATTTTTTTTAATGTGTCTGTTTTGTTTGCGTATATGTTTGTGCACCATGTGTGTGCCTAGTACCAAAGGAGCTCAGAAGAAGGCATTGGATCCCCTGGAACTGGAAAGTTGGTTGTGAGCTGCCCCATAGCTCCTGAGACTTGAACCCAGGTTCTCTGCAAGAGCAGCAAGTGCTCTTAACTGCTGGGCCATCTCTTCAGTCCCTGGTTCTGCCATTTTTATTTTATTTTTTTCATGGACTATCTGTCTATTGGATTTTATTTGTAGAGGCTGATGAACTTTAACCAAAGCTAAAAAAACGTGGTGTAGCAAGTGTAATGGGCCCAGAGAGAAGGACTTACAGCAACCAGTACTTTCTTTAGACCCCAAAGGAGCCCTTTAGTAGGGGACAGAGGACATTTGAGGCACGAATGTCTGGGCGTGAGTCTAGACACACACACACGCACACGCACGCACGCACGCACCCAACAGAGTTGTAACTCAAAGAGCTGAGGCATGGGCCAGTAGGGCTTGTCCTTACCTTGTCCCCTGTAGGTCTCAGGCCCTGAATTGAACTTTAGTCTCATGAACACGGCAAACTAGTGTTGCTAGTCCTCAGAACAGGGAGAGGAAGGACTGTTACACTTCAGAGATCAGCTATTGGCAGGCCGCAGAGTGTTGACGGCCACGGCTGCCCCTGCACCTGTCTTGGTCAGCTCCCGCTCTAGTGTTGCCTGTAGGATGTCTGTCAGCCTACACAGGATGAGGTCATAAGTAAAGTCAGAGAACTCTGACCTCTCCATGAGTCACAGTGTGTCCTGCATGCTCTTCACTATGAAACAGATGACAAGCAAAGTAGGCTAGAACATGGACCACACAGTTTCATGGTAGCCTTGGAGGCGCGGTGGGCTGAGAGCCTGTTGAATGTGTGTGGTAGGAATTCAGCATCTATATGCGAGTCTTAAAGCTTGGACATAGGAGAGCTGCTGCTGCCCCATCCTGGTTTTCAGGGTCAGGTCAGAGTGCCACAGGACCCTGTTGTTGTTTTGCTGTTTCCTCCCTTCTGTTCTTCTTTCTTCTTATTTTATTTGATTTTTGAGACAGGGTCTCAGAGTGTAATCTTGGCTGGCCTTAAATTCACAAAGATCTGCTTACCGCTGCTAGGTTTATGCCTGGCTCGTTTTTGTATTTTGAGGCAGGGTCATGCTATGTAGCCAAGGCTGACCCAAACTTGTGATCTTTTTCTGTCCAATTCTTAAGTGCTATGATCACAGATGTGCATAACCTGCCCGGCCTCAGATATTTCTTACTACTCATCATGAGAACTTTCCCACGGAGATTTTTAAGACTCCATCTTTTGTTATCAGTATTTTCTTCCCCTTGGCACATGGACAGCACCAAGAAGGACAAGGCAGGTGTCTGAAACAAGCTGTCCAGCAGCTGTCTGATTTTGTGTTTGGTGCTGACAAGCTCCTAGTTGCCATCACTGTCATTGCCTAGGAATTTGGGCCTGTGCTGTACAGGCTCTGAGGGACAGTCACAGAAGTGTTCTTTGTGACCAGGTCTGGACTGTGGCTGAGCCGAGAGACTGGGCGAGGGCTTTAGATGTGAAAGCCTTTGGTGCCTGGTAGATACAGGCAGAGTCCTTGCAGTAAGGAAAGGATGCTTTCCAGGTTTTTCTTGGTGCTGTCTTCAGTCTCCAGGGGGACCTGGGTGTGGAGATGAGTGGAGAAAAGGCCACATCAGTCTCAGCCTTCCGTACTGCTGAGAAGGCATGGCAGAGCTGCAGGGAGAAATCCATCAAGGCCTCCCCATGTCACTTCCACCAAACACCTGTTCAGGGTCTTAGAGTGACAGGCACTATGTTGAAGGGCGTGGTTGAGAAGGTGGGAAGGAAAATCTGGAGAGGTGGCTAGTCGGCAGCATATTGGGTGGAGGGTTAGATGGCGGATTCCTCAGTAGTACAACTGTTTTATGTTGATTGAGTTGGTTGTTGTCAAGATGGAAGATTCTGTGATGTGCCAAAAGGATAGACTCTGGGGATGTGTCCCTCCGAGGCCCTTCTTTGCTCTTGCCTTGGACACACTGGATGATACTGGACCTGCATAGGCTCTGTTTCCAACCAGCAGTAGCTGCAACAACTGAGGGGGTGGGGGTAAGGTCAACTTAGAGGCCATGGTGATGTCAGTTATTGATGCCACCTGGGACTGCAGAGCCAGCCCAGAATGGGGTGTATATACATAATTTTCCCAAAAGTTTCAGTCTCTTTACATCCTTGTCAGCATTTGTTTTCTGTACTTTTTTCTTCTTATTTTTCTTATTTGTTTCTGGTGGTGCTAATAATTCAAACTAGGGTACTTCTCACTTGTAGGCAAATGCCTTACCCCTAAGTCACACTTCCAGCCTTACCTGACACCTTAAATAAACAGGAAGCTGGGCATGGTGGCACAGACTGGAAGTCTCAGCACTTGGAAGACAGTGGCAGGTGATCTCTGTGAGTTTACGGCCAGCATGGTCTACAGAGCAAGTTTCAGGCCAGCTGGGGCTACATAGTGAGACACTTGTCTCAATTTTTAATTAATTATGAGATAAAGTTTAATGCAGCCCAAGCTGGCCTTTGATCCTCCTGCCTCCACCTCCACACTGGGGATTACAACAAGCATATGCCACCACCATACCTCTCTCCCTCACTCCTACCACTGTGCTGTTGTACCCGTGCGCTCCAAGAATAAAAGCTAGGATGTGGCAGAAGCAGGAGTTGGTCTGAGGCAGCGTGGCACCAGGGCTCTTCCTGTAACCATAGAACTTGTCAAGGGAAATGTGAGATAAGATGCTTTAACGTCCTTGGGGCTCTGTGGAACTTGCTATTTGTTGGTTTCAGTGCTCCTTGCAGAATCGGTGATTACAGAGAGAACATTTTATCCCAAACATTTATTCCCGTTCCCAAAGTAGTAGTTTCAAGTCTGGTCTTCATCTGGGACCTTGTGTTCACACAAAGAATGCTTGAAGTTTTTAGTTGAATTGGCAGATGAAGAGCTTTCGGGCAGGGTATTGCCTGTAAGTAGACTGTGACTGCCGACCTGGGGGCAGCCATTGGGCACATTGTGATGTCACTAGTCATGCAAGGCCGTGGTGAGGATGTGTGTGTTTGATATGTATAGATTGGCCGCTTCTTCATAAAATGGAACCAATCTGAAATGAATCCTAAAAACCTTTTAGAGCCCCTTAAACCCAAGAACTACTGAGCCTTTTGGAGTAGAGGTATGGACCATGCAAAGTGTTCCATTCTGGAGACTGGTAAGTAGAGTAAGTGAAGAAGCTGCTTTTAAAGACGTACGGTTGAGGCCTGGGGAACTCTTTGACTCTTGTAGATTTCTTTTTCCTGGCTTGGATTTACACACCTCCTTAATGTTTTCTTTTATTTTTTTTCTTTCCCAGACAGGGTTTCCCTGTATAGCTGTGGCTGTCCGAGACTCACTGTGTAGACCAGGCTGGCCTCAGACTCACAGAGATCTGTCTGCCTCTGCCTCCTCAGTGCTGGGACTTACACCACCACACCCAGCTATGTTTTCTTCTTTCTTTGACTTAGCTTTTGTGCTAAGGGTCTGCTCGCAGACACAAGCAAGACCTGTTGCTTGAGGTCAGCCAAATATTTGGCTGGAAGGAGAAACAGACTGTCACTTCTGCTCATCAAGTGTGTTTTTGTGGAGGCAGATGACTTTCTCACATCTATTTCCTTCCTCATAGGTCTATGAAGGGCTAGACATCATCACCAATAAGGTTTCTGCCCGAGAGCAGAAGATGTGCCAGCACCACATGATCAGCTTTGTGGACCCACTCGTGACCAGCTACACCGTGGTGGACTTCAGGAACAGAGCAGCTGCCCTGATATCCTTAAGGGAACAAAGCGCCCAGGCTTGGTAGCCTTCTTTCTTCTAAGCAAGGGCACTTCTCCTGGTAGACAGCTTTCCATGGAACTCATTAGAAATTCTGGCTCTTGTCTGTGTGATTCTTCTTTTTAAAGTTTATGTATTTTTATTGTGTGTGTATGTGCGTACATGTGCTGTGTCTACATGTGAAGTCAGAGTAAAGCTTCCAGGAGTCACTTCTCTCCTTTTACCTGTTGAGGCCAGGTCTTTGTTGTTGTTTCTGCTATCCTATGTATTCCAGGCTATCTGACATACAATCATCTTCCAACTGATTCTTCTGTTTCTGGCTCCTAGTTTGAAGTATAGATGCTGGAATTACATATATGTACACCACATCCAGTTTTTCATCTTTATTTCATGTGCATTAGTGTTTTGCCTGCACGAATGTCTGTGTGAGGATGTCAGATCCTCTGGAACTGGAGTTACAGAAAGTGGTAAGCTTCTGTGTGGATGCTGGAAATTGAACCTGGGTCCTCTGGAAGAAAAGCCAGTGCTCTTAACCATTGAGCCATCCCTCCTGCCCCCTGCCCAGCCCCGCTCTCCCCCCACATCCAGCTTTTTTATCCCTTAGGGATTGAAATCAGGTCATCAGGCTTGCTGGGTAACTGCTTTTACCCATTGGGCCATTTCACCAGCCTATACATGATTCCTAAGGACGTTTGGAAAAAAACACTTTGTGACAGGGACACTGATTTAGAAATAGAAAATCTATGTCCTGATTCTGAAATTACCTCTTTTGACCGTGTTGTTTTTACTAGGTAAGGCATTGCTCACACTGCTGAGCTTCAAGTCGCTGCCCTGTAGAGTGGGGATATGACGTTGTAAATTTGTCACAATAATGGAGCCACTGAAAACCTCAGAGGGATTAGGACGTAGGGAAGGATTGGGAAAAATAGTTCTGGATAGGATTAAGACATTTTTGAGAAAAGGAACTGAGTGAAGGGTTATACCTGTAATTTTAGCTCTAGGAGAAGCTGGAGCAGGAGGATTGTACCTACAGTACCAGTCTGGGGCACATGCTGAGACTATCTCAAAGCCATAAAAGACAAGATCAACAAGAAATAAGTAATGTACAGGGCCTCCTTTATATTTTAAAATTCAGATTATCTTTAATAGCTGAACTACCAGCTATTAAAAAAAAAAACACTGAAAAGTTATAACAGTTATATTACTCCTGGGGGATGTAGCCCAGTGACGGAACACTTGACCAGTGTAAATAAATGAGGGCCTAGGTTCAATTCCTAGTAACAGGGAAAAAGCCCTGAACCAGTAAGTAGATGGGGCATTGGCAATAAAAGTTATGAAATACTAGATGAATTTGTAACACAGAGGCAGCGAGATGGCTCAGTGGGTGTAAGCACTTGCCATGTAATCTGACGGTCCAAATCTGATCATCAGATCCTAGAATAGAAAAGGAGAAAACTGATTCCTGAAAGTATGCACCACACACACACACACACACACACACACACACACACACACACACAAATAAAACCAAAACAAAAATACCCCCCATTGTAACAGAATAGGAAATTCAGTGTAGGTTGAAATGAATGTATATGTTTATCTTATGCATTGTAGACTAGTAACAAATGAAGGGAAGCCCGGGATGGTGGTGCACACCTTGAATGTTAGTATTTGGGGAGGCAGAGACAGGCAGATCGCTCTGAGTTTGAGGTCAGCCTGGTCTACAGAGCAAGTTCCAGGACAGCCAGGGAGATACACAAAGAAACCTTGTCTCGCAAAACCAAAAGAAAGAAGGAGAAGGAAAGAAAGATTGATTTTTTTTTTTTAATATCATTAAGAATGTACAGTAGAGGGGGCTGGAGAGATGGCTCAGAGGTTAAGAGCACTCTCTGCTCTTCTAGAGGTCCTGAGTTCAATTCCCAGCAACCACATGGTGGCTCACAACCATCTATAGTGAGACCTGGTGCCCTCTTCTGGTATGCAGGTGTACATGTAAACAGAACTTTGTATCCATAATAAATAAATAAATCTTTAAAAAAAAAAAGAAGAATGTACAGTAGAGCTGGGCGTGGTGGCGCACACCTATAATCTCAGCACTCGGGAGGCTCTGAGTTCGAGGCCAGCCTGGTCTCCAGAGTAAGTTCTAGGACAGCCAAGACTACACAGAGAAACCCCATCTTGAAAAGAGTGCATGTCAGGACCTTGGATACAGGTGGAGTGCTTACATAGCATGCACAGAGCCCCAGTGTGGTTCCCTGCACTGTGTAAACCAGGCAGGGTGGCAGGGTGCACCTGTAATCTCTTGGGAGGGAGAAGTGAGGGTCAGAAGTTCAGTCATGGCAGCATAAGGAGTTCTAGGCAAGCCTGCGCTAGAAGCTTGTCTCAAAAAAAAAAAAAAAACAAATCAAATAAAAGGCTGTCAAACTGGGACACTTCAGCATGTGCCCTAGGACACCCTGCTCAGTTTTGTCTTAGGTGTGCATCGGCGATTTGCACTTAGCAACAATAAACACCCAAATTACCGTTCTCACAGAATGTGCAATATTTGCTTTACTCTTAGAAGTTCTTTGTAACAGTAAAAATGAATAAATTGTAGTTACATGCATTAGTCAACATGTAAGAATTTTACAAACAATATAAATGTTGGGGATTACAAGATACATGTCTGTTTTTGCCACTGTTGTTACTATAAAAGTTAAAAAGCAAAAAAACTATGTTTGGTGTGCTGGAACACACCTGCAATCCCAGGAGTGGAGGGTGAGGCCATTGCTGCACAGGAGTTCAGAGCTAGCATTGAACAACAACATATATAAACTTCAGGGGAAATGTTGATAACATAGGGAACAGTTGATTAATGTTCTTAATACATGAAGGGCTCTCGTGAATATGAAAGTACTTACAGGGCCTGGTGTATAATTCACATAGGAGTGAGCACAAATGGTGATAAGCGTGGAAAAGGTTTGGCCCCCTTACTAATCACGAGCACGCAAATCCAGACAAGGAGATAGTCATTTTGCCTATCAAATGGGCAGATTAAAATGCGGATTGTAATTTCAGGTCTGCCTATTTTGCAGGGTGGTTGTGTCAGATAAGATAGTATGTGTGGAAGCTTGACACCTGTCACCAAAGATGAGTTTGTTAGTGTTTCCTTGGATGGTCAGCTTGTTCATAAAGAACTAATGCAGAAGCTGGGCCAGGAGCACACACGTGCAATCCCAGCGTCTGGGGAGGCAGAGGCAGGCGGATCTCTGTGCGTTCCAGGCCAGCCTGGTCTACAAAGCCAGTCCAGGACAGCCAAGGCGACATAGAAAGTCTCCCTATCTCAAAACCTACATAAAATAAAATAAAATAAAATAAAATAAAATAAAACAAAACCTGACTCAGAGTGCAGAGGGCCTGATGTTTTCCAAGTACAGAAGCATCAGGGGACGACTCATCAGACCAGCTCCAGGCTAGATTTGAAGTTTACTTAAAAGCATAAAATCACAGTGTCAACTGAAAGGACCACTGAGATTCCAGTGCAGGAAGACAGAGAGCTCAAGGGTAGCCCATACCTAGGTCAGCAGGCTTGGTGGCAAGCACCGTTACCTACTGAGCCATCCTGCTAGCCCCTGTCTGTTTTTTGAGAGGTCTGTATGGCCCTGTGCTGGTCCTGTAGCACAGGCTGTTCATGACTTTACAGAATTCTCCTGCCTCAGCCTCTCAAGTGCTGAGATTATAGGTTGTTGTGCCCAGTGCCAGCCCTCTCTATGGTCCTTATTGCTAGCATCTTCCTTCCTGCTCTGCCGGAAGGAAGGACCCTGGAGGAAGCCTTCATCTAGTTCTGTCTACAGGTTGCTGCAGGAAGGAGCAAGGAAACGATTATCTGCATATTGAGAGTCATCTTTCTTTTTTAAACAAGCACACCCCTAGTAATTATCCGCTCAACAGAGATTCTAAAGAGAATCCCAAGAAGCAGAAATAAAAGAACAGTAGTGGCTGCAGTAAATTGAGTACTTACTGGCTTTCAGGCATTACAGTAGAGTCTTTATACACACTGTTACAGTTAATGTTCCTAAGCATTCTGGGATTTTGCAGGTGAGAAAACTGAAGCTCAGATAGGTTGAGCAACTTGCCCTGAAAATTAAAGTCTGGTGAGGTCTCAGTGGCTGAACTATGCACTGCTACTCAGTAACGTTGACTCAGAACTGTGGTATGGGGGAAACAGCCTGTGCTTTCTCTTAGAAAGTCAGGTCACACACAGCGTGTCACCTTGGTGCGCATCCTTGAAAGAAGCAAGACCTAGACGTTTCGAGAATCAGGTACCATTGTGCATTTATGTCTGGTTTTCTTTCTTTTTTTTTTCCTTCTGTTTTTAAATTTAAAGACTTACTTTATTTTATGCGTGTAAATGTTTTGCCTCCATGTATGTCTGTGCACCAAGTGCAGGTCTGGTTCTAGTAGAGGCGTTGGATCCCTTAGAACTGGAATTACAGGTGGCTGTGAGCTGACATATTGGTATTAGGAACCAAACCTAACCTTTGGTATTGGTTCTCTGCAAGAACAGCAAGCATTCTTTAATCCCCTTCTTGGTGTTTTGTTTTGTTTTGTTTTGTTTTGTTTTGTTTTGTTTTGTTTTGTTTTGAGACAGGGACTCATATATCCCAGGCTGGCCTTGAACTTCTGATCTTCCTGCCTCTTTTTCCTGAGTGCTGGGATTATAGAGACATGTGCCACCATGTCCATTTTACATGGTTCTGGGATTAAAGCAAGGGTGTCTGCATGCTAGGCAATCACTCTTCCAACTGAACCACCTACCCATATCCTGTGTCTGGTTTATGGAAGTCTCATCAGGTCTAATTGAAAATGATTCCACGAAATTACAGGAAGCATTGAAGGCAGTGCCACTTCCTGTTAACCTCAGCACTCCAAACAAATGTGATTTTATGTATTGTATGATTGTTTTGCTTACATTTAAGCCTTTGTGCCACATGTGTGCCTGATACCTGGGGAGGGCAGAAGATCCTCTGGGACTGGATTTGTAGACAGTTGAGAGCCACACATGGGTGATGGGAACTGAACCCAGTCCTCTGGAAAAGCAGCCAGTGCTCTTAAGCTCTGAGCCATCTCTCCAGCCCCTTTGCCTGCCTGCCTGCCTTGGTTTTCTTTTTTTGATGTGTGTGTGTGTATGGTATGTATGCCTGTTAGTATGTGTGTGTATGTGCACATATGTGGGTAGAAGCTTGAGGTATGTGCCCACATATTATTGGCTTTTGTGCTTTCTTACTAATACTCTTCTCGCATGAGTTAGGATTCTCTTATTTATATTAAATAACTTTCTTAATGTTTACATTGAAGATATTTTTGCTCGAGACAAAATTCCCATTGTTGTGGGAGGAACGAATTATTATATTGAGTCTCTGCTCTGGAAAGTTCTTGTGAATACCAAGGTAAATCTGGTTCATTTGTAACTCACTAAAGAAACAGGTTTCCTTTTTTTTCATGCCAAATAATTTCAGTGGGAGGAAGGTTGACTCTTACCTGATTCTTATAGTCAGCAGCTGTAATTTTCCTCCTTAATATTCTGAACAAATGCCACCTCCATATATGAAGTATACTCCTCCAAGCTGGCCTGAGGGTAGGGGTTGTGTGTGGGAAAGAGGCTCTTGGATTAATTAGCATCTCTGTAAGTTAGCAGTCTGTCTGTCTGACTCAGCGTTTCCTGGCTGCCAGCACAGTGTACATGTCAGAAGTGTCCAGCACTGACCTTTCTTGTGGAGGTCAAGACTTTGTAAATGGCAGTGTGTTGGCAGGTCTGGTCCACTCTTGAGTCATCCTTGGGGAGGGTGGGCTACATTCCTGGATATGTTAAAATAGATGTGGTAGCCCAATTAAAATAAACAAGCAGAGTAGCCAAGTACTTACGAGGTAAGCCATTCTTCCTCTTTGTTTATTGTGGCCTTACAGTACTTACCACAGTGTACTGGAATTTTTGGTTTATGATCTGTCCCTTACTATATAGTACGATCTTCATATTTATCTCTGTTCTTTATTTCTAAGGCTTAGCAGTATGCCTAGCCCATTTATAGTCAGTGTTTATTGAATAGTTGGATTAAATTTATTCTAAACCTTCTTGTACTAGCCTCAGGATGTGGGCACCGGGAAAGCGGTTAACCGGAAAGTAGAGCTTGAAAAGGAAGATGGTCATGAACTCCATAGACGGCTAAGCCAGGTGGACCCAGAAATGGCTGCCAAGCTACACCCACATGACAAACGCAAGGTGGCCAGGTAAGAAGGCCTGGGTCCCTTGCCTCGGAGTTCCTTTAGACCTGGGAGACAGTAAAGCGTTTGGCTAACCTGGGTGCCCGAGGGTCTTGGGAGTAGTGGAGATTGGTTTGTTCTAGTTCAGTGGGCTTGGAGGCCCGAGGTACTGCCTTAGTCCAGACCCTCAATAAACAGTCGCACCCTCCTTTGTTGTTACGTTTTAAAGGCACGGTACCATATTGTTTTTCCTCAGGGCTTCATTTTCTATTTGATCTTTGCTTGTATAACAGTTTTCATATAAAGTTTTTCTGGCATGCAGTACGTTTACGTAGTGACTTGAGTTTCATAATTGATTGTGCAATGCTGGATTGTGCCCCAGTAGCTTTCCCGGTGGGAGGTAGGGTTTATAAGCTGTCTCAGGTGAGATTGCCTTTGCACATGGGAACTTCATTGTAGGGGCGAGGGGTGGTGCGTTCTTAGAGTGCTTTGGAATCGAAACTTCCTATGCCGCTTTATCTGCAGTGCTGGAAATGGCTCCTGTGCTCGGGAACGGGGGACCGTCTAAGGAAGGGTTTACTGTGGTAGCTGCACATATCACTTGTTATGGTGACATTGGTGTTGGGGGCCCTGCAAGGTATTCTACTCTAAAGATTTTTTAATACTAGTGTTTCTTTATATTTTTCCAATATTCTGCCTTCAAAGAGCCATTTAAGAATATCTCCACCATGTTGTGCCATATTCCAGTGGAATTTTTTTTTTTTTTTTCAGACAGGATTTTCCTGTTGTAGCCCTGGCTGTCCTGGATCTCGCTCTATAGACTGGGCTTGCCTTGAAACTCAGAGATCCACCTGCCTCTGCCTCCTCAGTGTTGGGATTACAGGAGTATGCCACCACCCTGCTCAGATCTTTATTTCTTACTATATCTCTTTATCCTGCTTGAGAACTGTGCCTCAGTAAGGGTCAGTAGGTTCCAAGCAAGAGCTCCTGTAGGGAAGATGGGGAATGCTTATCATCTCTCTTTTGGGTGGAGTATGTATTGTTCTAGGCAAGTGAGGTACTGTTAGGGTTTTTTTTTCTCACAGAACGACAAGGGGTCTCACTCTGGTGTTGGGGTTTCAGGAAGCAGAAGTGGGTCAGGAAGGGAAAGATCGCTTTCCAGCTGATGAGATGCAGTCACCTGAGTGGGAGAGTGCGGCTTTGGGTTACCGGGTGCTGCACTGTAACAGACTGCACACAGACGTGAACGGCGGCTTAAAGAGCGTGTGGGCTCCATCTGTGACAGTATTTGTTCCAGGAGAGTGTACTGGATTAGCCAGCGCATTCTTGATTAATTTTAGACATACTGAAAAAGAGAGTGGCTGAGCTGGATACACGGCATGCCTTGGTACTGTGGGAAAGGTGCGCTCCAGCGAGACCAGACTTGTCAGCTTGCACAGAACGTCCTAAACAAGCTCGTGCTGCTCACTTGAAAGCTAGTCTCCTGCTTGCACAGGAGAAGCCTGCCATTTCTCAACCCGCTTAACTAATTCTAGAAGGTGTTTTTAAAAGAATGGTGTTATTTCTAACCCAGAGTTCAGCTGCCTTTCTGAATAGCTTTGGGATTAGAGTAAAGCTGGAACTTCTTGGTTTCGGAATTTATACATGAAGTTGAAAAATGAGGCTTTCTGTGAGAGAGTCTTTCTCTTCATTCCAGATGAGAATGAATGTTTTCTAATGGGTTCCCCATCTCACCTCTTTTTTTAAACAACTTAGGAGCTTGCAAGTGTTTGAAGAAACAGGAATCTCTCACAGTGAATTCCTTCACCGTCAACATGCAGAGGAAGGTGGTGGTCCACTAGGAGGACCCCTCAAGTATCCTAACCCATGCATCCTCTGGCTTCATGCTGACCAGTCAGGTAAATGCTTCACCCTAGAGTCCATCTGAGGTAAAATGTAGATTACTAGGTTTCTTTCTGTCAGGTGTCTGACAGTGAACACTAGTGTAAGCTATTAAGTTTATTGTGTCAGTCATCATGTCTTGCCTTAGGCTCCTTGCTGTTCCCTTAGGTATTTCTGGAGAGGGAAGAAGGAAGGGAAGGGAGTGCTGGTTCTCAGACACCAGAGGAGGGTAGGATGAGATGGTAGGAATGAAAAGTGGTTGTTGTTCAGAGAAGGTTGAAAGGTGAGAGTGAAGGAAGTTTCCTGTGCATAGAGGTCTGACCTCATGGTTGGCTATGGCTGGGTCATTGATTAGGCCTGAGAAGTGGCTGTGATGATTGGCTGACTAACCTGATAGACTTGTTGCTAAAGTATTGTGGTGCCCTGTCCTGGGAGCTACTTCACCCAGCAAACATCCAGTGAGCATTCGATAAAGTGCCAAGTATTCCGTGTATTCGCTGTGTTTTGGAGAAGAGTAAGCGAGTTCCTGCCCTTGCAGTCTCCTAGGGGGTGGGGTGATAGACAGGGCTGCAGCAGAGTGATCAGTGCCAACTGGAGGTCTCCTCAGAGTGCTGAGGCTGCAGGGAAGGATGATGAGTGTCTCTGGGGGTCAGGAAGACGAAATGACAGCAAGCCAGGCAGTGCAATACAGTGGTAGATCGGCCAGGCTTGGAGGCGTTTCTTTACCTCACACACTGGCTCCGCTGTCTCCTAGCTCTGTGGGTTCTTAAGACCAGTTAGCTTACCTTTATGTCTTCCCACTCTTCAATGAAATAGAAGTGATGATAATAGTACTCAGACCTCATAGCATCCATTAAGGATTCAGTAAACCAATGCTGTACAAAGTTGTGAGGTTGGGAGTATGGCTCAGTAGGAGAACACTTGTCTGATGTGCACACAACCTTGTGTTCAATTCCCAGCACTACAGAATAAATAAATGACAGAGAGAGTGCTCACAGTGAATGTCACACTGCTGGTTTACTGACCAGTCCCCAGTAAACAATCTTAGCAAGGTAAGAAAAAGTAGAGGCTGAAAAGAGAGAGCTCAGGTAGTCATAACTGTAAGGATAATGTTTCCGTCAAACCTTACACCACAATTCAGTGTAAACTAATGGCTTTGAGCCCCGGCAGCGTATGTCTGGTCACCACACCTGTACGGTGATGATCTTCCCTCATCTGGGTAGTTCAAGATGCACCAGGATGTCACCTGGGGATTCTGAAATGAAAACAACACAAAGTTACAGTTAAAAAACTGTGACAAAAGTTAGGAAAGTCCATCACTGGGTGTGGCGGCGCACCCCTTTAATCCCAGCCCTTGGGAGGCAGAGGCAGGCAGCTCTCTCTGAGTTCCAGGCCAGAGAAAGGAAAAGTCAACCAAGGAACCTCAGCCACTTTGAAAAGCAGTGAGTAGGAAGTCGACACGGTCAAGCGCTTGCCCTTCATTCCAGCTCTCATGTGCTATTCAGATATGAGAAGGCATGTGCTCCTTTCTGTTTTGCTTTGCACTTGTGCAGTCCAAAATACAAGTAAATACAGTATGAATTTTTATATCCTCTGAAATCTGAATCCTTTCATTTGGATAAAAACCCTTCTTAGAGGCAGCGTGTTCAAGTCACCGTGTGAGTGTGTAGAAGACACCTGCCAAGCGTGCTCACTCAGGGACTGTTTTGACTCAAGTTCTAGATGAACGCTTGGATAAGAGAGTGGATGACATGCTTGCTGCCGGACTCTTGGAAGAGCTCCGAGATTTTCACAGACGCTATAATCTGAAGAACTCTTCAGAAAATAGGTGAGGATTTGGCTGCTGTTCTGAGTCACCCTCCCTACTTGCCCATGGTTGCCAGACCATAAGCATAATACTTGCTTTGGATCTACTTACTAGTCTTTGGCCATGGCATTGGCAAGACCTATTGAAGGAGGTTTATTGTATGTTTTGGAGTGGAAATTTGCTTTTCTTTCAGACATTCCCAGAAGTTACTTTTTAAGGAAGTAACCTGGGGGCTGGTGGGGCGGGAAGGGGAGAATTTCAGTCAGTAACTGCTCTGGATCTCACTGTTCTCATCAATGAGAACCTCCGAGGCCCCTGCTGGCTTTCAGAAGCTGTGGCTCACTGCTGACGTTCTCCTGTTCCCAGCCAGGACTATCAACATGGTATCTTCCAGTCAATTGGCTTCAAGGAATTTCACGAGTACCTGATCACTGAGGGAAAATGCACACCAGAGACTAGTAACCAGCTTCTAAAGAAAGGTGTGAACTCCTTCGTCTCACCTAAGTCTTGGACATCCTTGGGTGGTAGTCTGAGCCGAGGCTAGTGGAGTCCCAGCTGAGAACTGAGATTGTTATCTGTCAAGTCTAACAGTGTACCAGTTTCTTTTGCTCTTGGGCTGGGAGGGTTGACTCCTGACAGAAGTGCTTATGGAGATGCTCCTGTGTTTGCTGTGTTTTCCAGGAGTTGAGGCCCTGAAACAAGTAACTAAGAGATATGCCCGGAAACAGAACAGATGGGTTAGAAACCGCTTTCTGAGCCGTAAGTCCACTCTTCCCATCTCCTGAATCCTTTTTGACAGAACATTGATCTGTCCTAAGAATCTGGACCCAAGGTGGGTCATTTGCATGGATGATTATTCAGGGATGCTTTCTGGCTATGCCTCATGGGGGAAAAAAAAGAAAAAGCATCTAAGGTTTCATTCAAGAGTTTTCCTTCTTCCTTGAACAGATGGTGGGGGCTACAAGCAGGAGGTAAGAACAAAATAGCAACTTGTGAGCAGGCTGGATGTTCAGATCTGATTCTAACTTCAGTTTTGTACCTGAAGAGCAGGCAGAAATCTGCAGGGAGCTTTCCTCGTTAAAATGGCTCCTGGGTCTGGTGATCTTTCATACAAAGAACAAAACAAAATATTTCTCCTTGGTTTATCTTTGTGGTCAGATTCTTGGTACTAGATACAGGGTACTTCAACTGCTTCGACTGAAACTTTAATTGAACTTTTTTTGGGGGGTAGGAGGTTCAAGACAGGGTTTCTCTATATAACAGACAGGCCTATCCATTCTATAGATCAGGCTGACCTTGAGCTCACAGGGATCCACCTGCCTCTGCTTCCCAAGTGCTGGGATAAAAGGTGTGCCCCAGCACTGCTGGGCTTGGACAGAACCTTTAAGGGAGAGGGAAAGAAAGTCTTCTACTGTGTCTTTGGCACTAAATGTAGTGCTGTATCATTGTGTTGAGGCTTCAGAGTGAAGGGGTAATTGATTTTACAGGTAAGAACATGAAGACCTAATGAAAGTCCACTAACTCCCTTTCCCTTCACCCCTGCTAATAGGCAGGAGAGCCCAAATACAGACCTGACTCTTTAAGTTAGGCTCATGTTTCATTTAGCTATACTGTTGGCTAGCCAGCATTCGTATTAGCCATCGGGTCCCTGGTTGTGTGCTTATGAGCTAAAAGGAGATTAATTTAAGCGTACTGAAACTCTAGTTTTATCTTGCAGACACTTTTAAAATACACTTTTGAACCATCTCCAATTTACTTTTTGCCAATAGACTCTGCTTTCAGTTACAGGAGAGGCCAGCTGAAGCCTCTGTCCTGTTCTTTGGTACCTTTGACCATGTACGTCTTGGTCTATGGTGTCCCTTCCATCAATCACCCTTTGCCTTCCTGTCTTGATAAATAGAGGGTTCCCATCTTAGTTTCAGCTGAACTTGACATTCAGAGCTACAGATTTCAAGTGCAACTTCCCAGGTCTGACAGTAAGTGTGAAACAAAAGTTTTTTGTAATGGTGTAGAACTTCCTCTTGTGGTAAAGCCATAGTAACCCTGTCCCTGAGGCGGGAGGGGTTAATGGCACCTCATTCTGTTCAGGCACAATCCTGGTGCCAGAGTGAAAAGCACAGCTGCCCTCCAAGTCAGGAGCCACATTTGATTGGCCAGGGCTAGTCTGTTGGGATATGGCCTGGCAGAAAGCCAGAGGGACTTCCCCACCCCAGCTTGGCCTTGGACCCAAGCCAGAAATAGCAGCTGGGAGCCGAGAACTTGTTGAAAGGTGCTTAGACAGGGCACAGAAGCCCAACAAAGGCCTTAGAGAAGAGAGGGAAATGTAGAGTGGCCTAGAAACAGGTGCAGAGCTTAACTAAGGCCAGGTGTGCTGTGGGTGCCGCCTGCACTCTCCTGGTCTCACCTTTCCATGTGGCGGCAGGTGTAGGCCAGGCCAGTCTATGAAGAATCTTATTTGTGGTTGGCACACTCAAAAGGCCAGCACCTGCCAGCCGTTGGCATCCCGATGCCTTTGATGTTTCTTGTCCATGGGACAATGCTTCTTACCGTCAGGTAACTGAATTGAGCTAGTTGTAGAAGGCCGTCTAGTGTGTCTGTGGAATGCAGAGGCTAACTGAAGCTAGAGTGTTTCAACACAGTTGACCCAGATGTGTGATGCCTCTTCTCCTATGTCTAATGTCCATTCAGAAGTATTTACCAGAGAGTGTGCTTGAATCATCCTTTAGATATGGCTCTTAAAAGAAGGTGTTCCGGAACCTGACATTGTACTGCAGGGCTGTACTCACATCATTTGGAAGGTAGAGAAGCTGGAGAATCAGGGGTCCAAGACCAGCCTCAGGTGTGGAGTGAGTTTGAGGGTAGCCTGAGCCACATGAGTGTCTGACAAACCCCTGGGAGAGGGCTCATGGAGGGCAGGATAAGATTCAGCTAGATCAGCCTCAAGGCTAGTTCTTGAGTTCAGTGGTACATTGGTTAATGCCTGTGGTTATCTAGATGCTATCAAGGAGTGTGGACAGTCTGCCTACAGAGAACTCTACTTTCAGATGACATAAAATTTATAGCAGACACTCACTCAAAGCTCTTAGTTTATTTCCTCCTCTAAAGTGCTGTCTTTATATAATAGTCCGCACAGTGTTGTTCACTGGAGCTGTTCCTCCATTTTGATTTCCTTATGATCAAAGTTGAGCGCCCGAGTCCCTGTTTACGCAGTCGGGCATATTGGCTGCATGTGAGTCAAGCTTTTGGGCCTTTGGGAATGTGGCTTATATTTATAGTAGAATGGATAGCATGGTCAGAATGTCCTGTTGTTCCTGTTCCACTTTAGGGTTTAAGAGTCCTGAAAACAGAATGGATTGGGACTTGTAGACCAGACTCTCTTGACTTTTCTTTGTCATCATTAGGACCTGGTCCCAGTGTCCCCCCAGTATATGGCTTAGAAGTGGCTGATGTTTCCAGGTGGGAGGAGTCTGTTCTGGAACCTGCTCTCAGTATTGTACAAAGTTTCATCCAGGTGAGTGTTAAGAAAGCATGGCCTGTTGTCACGTTTGCAGGCTACTTTCTTTTACTGGCAGTTTTGCTGCTATTTAAGGGAGTCAATGGAATAAAGCAGCAGGGCTGTCTGCTTTCAATTTTCTGGAGCTTGCTTTTACCTTCACATTTAGAAAGGTTGGTACTAAAATCTGTTGACAGCCCACCTGCTCCCTGCAGATAAAAAAGAAATCTTGGGAAAATCCCACTCCCCTTAATGTAAGAGACTTGTCCCCAAATCTCTTTGAAATGAATACCCTTCCCCTTTGTTCTCTTAGGGCCACAAACCTGCAGCTACTCCAATGACGATGCCATACGATGAAACGGAGAACAAGAGAAGTTACCACATGTGTGACCTTTGTGACCGGATCATCATTGGGGACCGGGAATGGGCAGGTAGAGTACAGATGGGGGCTGTGTGGGGGGTCATGGGAAATATATTTGGGTGGGAGTCATACTTCTTAAAACTTGGTCTTTAATAATTGAATGCTGGAGTGAGCTTGTAGCAGGGCAGATTCCTGAGAACATTTCCTAGACTAGGGAGTTGCGCCCATATCCCGACACGCAGAAAACCGTTGCCCTCCAGCTGCAGCTGGAATAGGAGCATCAGCTCTCTCTAGAAGGCAGTGTGTGGCACATAGAAACAAAGGCATTAGGAAGCTTCTGCAAGCAAGCGGGGGCAGAAGCACAGCCACAGGAGCAGGCATGCACAGGGTCCTCAGAGGCCATGGGGTCTTTTCAGCCCTTTCAGAGGAACTTGTTGAACTGGTGAGTAGCTGAAACTGTGATGAAAGATGGGAAGAAGTGCTATGAAAGCTAGCCTGAGCTAGCCTGTCCCAGCCACAGGAAGCCTGCTTAGAGTACTGCTTTGCTTGGATTCTCAGAGTACATGCTTCTCTCCAGACCAACCCATACAATGATTAGGTCTATTAACTGGCATCTCTGGCAGAATGAACCCCATTGTCAGAGGCTGGGGGCGGCTGTGCGCCCGACCAGCAGAAGAAGCCTTGCTTGTTGGTAGTGTATAATGATGAAAGGGGAGGAGAGAGAGCGTCTGACTGCTTTGTAAAGGAAACTTAGTGGTTCGATTTGTCGAATGTCCTTTGGGGAGAGCCTTAGAGAAGCAACTTTTGTGAGCCTTTGTGAGCTTGGCTGTGTGAGCCTTCTATAGTGCCATCTGTCAGGTCCTTGCTCCCGTCCCCTGCTGCCGTGGAGAGCAGCCCAGAGCCCAGGTTTGCCTTCAGCTCTAGTTAAAAAATAGAGCTGACTCTTCTTTCTGCACGAAGTTGTTCAGCTTCTGAACTCTTCCATGCTCACACTCCTAAACCTTTTTTTTTTCTCTTTTTTTTTGATGCTTTTAATGTGTATAAAAGAATTTAGCCTAGGCTCAGTGGGTGAAGGGGCTTGGCACAAGCCTTGAGTTCTTGAATACCTGGGACCAACCTGGTGAAGAAAGAACCAACTTCCACTTCAAAAGTCTCCCACCCCATGTACATGCACAAATAAGTAAATAAGTAAATTTAAAAATTAGCCTGGGCATCCCTCTCTTCAGGTGTTCCCAGGGGAGAGTTCTTTGCAGAAAAACAGGATAGTAAAAATGAGCCTGTAGGAAGTAGTCGACAGGTAAGAATGAGAGGACCAGGACCGGTGGGTTCATGTAGCAGCCCTGCCCAGCAGAGCCTTAGCCAGGGGACAGCACAGGCCTAGAATCATGCACCTGGGAACAAGGGCAGGAGGAGTCTAAATTTGTTAAAGAAAAAGATTATATAGTTAGGTTTAAATGTTGGTTTTGTTTGATTTTTTTGTTTGTTTAATTCTAGAAAACCCTAATGGCTTTTTGTTTATTTGGTCTTTGTCTTCTCAGCACATATAAAATCCAAATCTCACTTACACCAACTGAAGAAAAGAAGAAAGTTGGACTCAGATGCTGTCAGTGCCATAGAAAGCCAAAGCAGTTCCCCAGACTGTGACCCGGAACTTGGAGAGGGGAGTCCCCCAGGCATCATGAGCAAGAGCTGAAGGCCAGTATTTGAGAGACATGCCTAGTGGCATTTGCAGAGATGTGAGGATCAAGTCCAGGAGGGGGGAGTGTTGGTCTCCCACGCCTGTGCTGAGGGACACTGGGCAGAAGGCCCCACCATCTTTTCTTCATTCTGTGGTGTGGTCTGCAGTGGAAACAGCAGGCCTTTCAGCCCCCTGTGTGTCTGTTGTGTCTGGTAATGATGTAGTTCAGGGTGGGATATTTTTTTTTCTTTGAACCTTAAAGGTTTTATTTTAGAAAGAGGCACAGATTGCACATTTTCTACTTGAGGATCTTTTTTAGTGGTGAATACAAGATTCAGTACATCCTTTAAAAGAGAGTTCTTGTCCCTAGCACTGGCTAAAAATATCTCATTTCCAGATGCTTTTGTAGATGACTGAAGTATTGTAAGGCACAGTTAGGAGTTCTGGACTTGAGAACGGCAGGAAGGAGCAGCCCAGGGAGATGATTAAGCAAGCTGTCCCAGCTCTGTGAAGCCACAGAAGAGGGGGTCAGGCCAAGGTGGTTGTGACCTGGGTCCTGAAGACTAAAGAAAGAATCTGAGTCTGCTGAGCTGCTCCTGTGCATAATGGCTGTCATCGTCGCTGTCCTTCTGGGGTAGAAATCTAAATATTCTTTTGAAATGTAAATAAAAAGGTTTGTAAAAAGCCCTCTAGTCTGTACACAGCATGCTGCATTGTCAATTTGATAGCTTTTTTCTCAAACTCTGCGTTCATCATAGATGTAGCTATATATGAACTCTCACATTCCTCAGAGGTCCCCGAGGGCCTTCAACTGGGGCCTTGTTATCTCTCTGGGGTGCCTTCAGAACTCAGTGTTTAGACGTGTAAGTCAGCATTTTACATTCACAGTGTTGGGCAGTCTTCACTACTGTTTTCAAAACCTTTTCATTGTCCCGTTAGAGAACTCTGCACATAGGAAACCCTAATTCCCCAGGTCTATTTGGTGCAAGTCTGATGTAGGACAGACCCTGGAGTGGGCCAGCAGGGCACAGCAGTGGGAGGCATTCTGCTTTTGGGGTCCCCAAAAATATTTATGTAATCAGCCAGTGTAGACAGGAGTACATGGAAGCTACAGATTTCAGTGTAAAAGGGAGAGGAAGAAATCATGCAGGAAGGAGCCTCTTGAGCTGGCCATGGTCACACACACCTTTAATCCCAGCACCTGGGAGGCAGATAGATCTTGAGTTCAGGGCCATCCAGGACTACACAGAGAACACCACCACACACACACCACACAAAGGAAGGAGCATCTCTATTGGACTTAATTTTTAGAATCCCAGCGCTTGGAAGGTCATATAAGAAACATGTGTTCCAGCCTGGACTATATTTTGAAACCCAAACAACCCCCATACAATAGCAAACCACAAAGAAGTTGGGGCTGTAAATTATTTATCACACAGGCATGAGACCTGAATTAGATCCCCAGAACCCACAGAAAAGCCCTAGCATGATGGCAGCCTGCTGCTGCTGATCTTTTGTGTATCTGCACCATGAGCTTAGCTGTCATCTGTTCCCTGGAAGTGGAGTTACAGATGATCGTGCACTGCTGTGTGGTGCTGGGAGCCAACCCAGACCTCCTGGAAGAGCGTCAAGTTCTCTTAACCAGTGAGCCATCTCTCTGGCACCACAATGTGCTTCTCATCTCAATGGGACCCACTGGCTGGCTAGCCTGGTCTAATATGCTGCTAGTAAGGCACCGTCAGGTCGGGGTGTGGCGGGTCAGTGGCTCGGTGGGTAAGGTGCTTGCTCTGGGAGCACAAGGACCTGCATTCTGACCCCCAGCAGCGGCGGGCAGAGGGAACATCAGAGAAAGGCAGATCCCAACAGCTTATTGCCAGCCAGCTTAGCCAATCCATAAAGCTTCGGGTTCAGTGAGAGACGCTGTCTTTAAAAAAATAAAAAATAAAAAAAGTTTAAAAGGCAGAGGGTTGGTGAGGTGACCCAGCAGGTAAAAGTACCCATGTAAAAAAGTGGGTGAGCATCTGTAATGCACAGCTCTGGAGGGAGAGATGGGAGCAGGGGACAGAGAATCCTCCTGAAGCTCTGACCATCGAGCCTGAGTGCATAGCAGGTCCAAACGAGGTAGGGGTGAACTGACTTCCAGTAGTTGGCCTCTGGCTAGTGCGTGTGCATACTTCCCCACTAAACATATGCCTGCACAATAATAGTTGTTCTTTAAAATGTGCTCCACATGCAAGCACACACAGGCATCCACACACATGCACACATACAAAACAAGGTGAATGGCGCCTGAGGAGGAATGACAGCTAAGCTCGTTTCTCTGGCCTCCACCCACATATGCACATACATGTACTTACGGTCTTCCCTCTCACATACACAAAACTGGACCCCTTCCAAGCCTGTGTTTACCTGTGCACAGGCTGTTGTGTAAAAATCAGGGTGAGAGACTTTGACCTCTTAGCGTAAGTGCTGACTGACTCTTAGTAAGTTTATTCTGCAGTCGAAGAAGAAGCCAAGCCTGCACCCACCCGCAGCTTGTTCTCCGTGTGATTTCCTCAGTCAGTGTACTACCTGCTTGAGGAATGAGCAGGCTGGGAAGCTGCGGCTTGAGTGCAGAAGTGAGTGCTTTCAGTGAGCCAAACACTCTTCTCCCAGCCTTGGAGGGAGAGGCCCAGGAAGAGGGCGGCAGGCCAGGCAGGGCTGGGCTGGCTGTGAGGCCAGCGGAGTCTAGCTGTTACATGCTGTGTAGAGCTGGCTGTTTAGAGAGGAAGCTTACTTTTCTGAAATGCTTCACTCAGGTTGCTAAATATATTTTAAAGCTTTAAAAATGTCAGCAGACAATCAAGAAAAACAAGTTTTACTAACTCTGCCTCAAAAAGTCTTTAATCCTCCCATCTGCAGTACGTGGCATTGACTTCTCTGAACTCAACTTCTATGTCTGTTGGAATGCGAGAATGTTTTTACCTGCCTTACCCCACCAGTCAGTGTCTAATGGTTTTATTAACTGCCTGCTAAGTTCAAGGCAGTGTGGTTGAGCCCTCTGCTCATGTTAGGAACTCCTGCACCAACCATTAGAAACCTGGAGCGGATAGAACTCTAGACAGGCACTGTCCTGCCGTGCTTTGAATAGCTTTCTGGTGAAGGCAGGCAGAGGAGAATAGCCCTTGGTTTCCATCAGACAGGAGAGTATCATCAGCCTCTGTACAGATGGAAGCTGAACCAGGTCATGGGGGAGCGGGGGGGGGGGGGGTTTACCAGAGTCACAGAGCAAGTTGTGGCAAGGCCAGGACACGTGAGGTGTCTCTTCACTCGGGGAGCAGCTTTCGGTGGCTAGCTGGAGAGGACTGTTGAGGCCAGCGTGAGCTGTTGGCTCAGACTACACCATCTGGCCTTAGCCAATTCCCGGACGAGCAGAGTCCTTCAGCACAGGTCAGTTCAGTTTCCCACCAGCGGTGTTGTCTGAGCCTTTGCTGATGAATTCCAGCACACAGTGAAAGTCACAGTCCTCTTCCTGGTAGGAGTAGGAGCAGCAGCAGCAGCAGCAGCAGCAGCAGAAGGAGAAATTAAGGTTTCGTTTTTCCCCCGGGCGGAAGACATGCACCACCACTGCTCAGACCCCATTTTATTTTATCAAACAGCTTTATTCTGTAGCATAGGCCAGCTTTAAACTCGACACAGTCCTGCCTCAGCCACCAGACACTAATAGAGGTCATTACTGGCACTATTACAGGTTGTGAGTTATCAGGCCGACTTAAAGATCTTGATTTAGCCTTTGGCACTTATAGTTCAAAAATTGTTGTGTAACTTTTTTTTTTTTAAGATGGGTCTTCCAGGCTGTCCTGTCCTGGCTTGCTCTAACATTCATTCTCTGTCTCCCACCTGCTGGGATTATTGGGGTTACAGGCTTGTGCCCCGTTTCCCCTGAATGTGTGGGGATTCATCACAGTCTCTCATGCAGGGGAGGCAAACACTTCACCAACTGAGCCTCATCTCCAGCTTCGGCGTTGTGCTGTTAAATTGTTGCTTTTTGAGACAGGGTTCCTCTGTGTAGCCCTGGCTGTCCTGGAGCTCTCTGTAGACCGGGCTGGCCTCAGACTCAACAGATCCACTTGCCTCTGCCTTCTGGTGTGTGCCGCTGCCCTGCAATTTTTTTTTTTTTTTTTTTTTTTAAAGAGCTGTAAAGAGAGATGAGTTCTTCCTCTTGCGCTGCCTTGCTTGGGCCTGTGACAGTAAGTGTCCTTGAGCCAAACCTCAGGACCTGCCCTGCATTCATCTCCTGAGACTTAGACTAGGAGACAGCTGATTGTCTTGGACCTCCATATTGAAGCCTATAAATGTACACACATACAAGGAAGTAAGAACTCAATAAATGTAAATTTTGGTGTGTCATCATCATCACACACACACACACACACACACACACACACACACACACACACACACGAACAACAGGGTTTCTCTGTGTAGCGCTGGCTGTCCTGGAACTCACTCTGCAAACCAGGCTGGACTCTGCCTCCCAACTACTGGAATTAAAGGCATAAATATAAGTTTAAAAAATAGTATTTTCTTTCTTTGGAGGCCTAAGCAGGAAGAATTCATCTTTGGTCTGTGCTCATGGTTTGCTCCTTTGTAATGCTCAGTAATTATTTGTACACAGTGTCCTACAATCAGCAAAGAGCTTTCCATTGAAAACACGGCACGTACAAACTACGCAAGGGCGGGGTGCAGTGTTCGCCTGGGATTACTTGCTCATTATTTGTAAGCTCTGGGTTTGATCCACAGCACAACAAAACTGACACATTAAAAAGCAACAACACAACAGGCAAGGATGCACGTTCGTGCACGCACACACACACACACACACACACATAAGCTTTTATTACTACAGTGACTGACCGCAGCATGGAAAAATAGTCAAATGCTTATTGAGTTAGTTGCATAGACGCTAAGTGAGTCTTAACATAAGTGGCCTGTTTCAACCATTAAATGGTCTTGATACAAGCTGAGGAAGTCCTGGGTGGTAGCTCCAGACAGGAATTTCATTGTTTGATTAGCCCCTGCTTGGATGTTAGGGCAGGTTTCTCCAGCGTTGCCTGGTCATTTGTAAAGCCATTCTAAGCACTCACAAAGGAGGAGGCATGTTGTATTAGTTAAGGTAAAAGGTTAGGCTGCTGTAACAAAGAGCTCAGCAAGGCAGTGGCTTAGAGAACAAGGTGTCCATTCTTTCTCAGGTAACAGCTCCGGGTTCTGAGTTAGCCTTTCTGAAGAGAGCAGACCAGGTCAGTGGGGCAGCCCTGCTCCTGGTGGTCATTCAGGGACACAGGTTCCTTGTATCGTGTTCCCTCAGCATCCACTGCAGCGCTGTCCTCATCTGTGTCCTTGAAGCCAGTCATCCGTGGTCCTGGTCAAAAGGAAGGAAAAGGGAGAAGAGGCAGGAGATGCGCCTGTCCACCCTGCCGGTCTGCTCTTTGAACACTGTCCTTTGGCTAGAACTGATGGCCACCCCTCCCCACCAGAGAGGCTGAGAAACCTATGCCAAGAACTGAGGAGAGCAGATATGGGTAGACAGCGTGTAGCCTTCACTAAATCAGTATCACAGAACACTAAATTCCAAACTTGTTTAGTAAATTGCCTCTGTTAATTCGATAGGGGCTGATTTACACGCACACACGCACTCACCATTTGTCAAATTACGGGTTTCGTG